TGTACAGTATATAACTTTGTATATGACGTAGAAAAGATGAAAAATTACTTTTTTAAAAGAATGTAATTAAGTTGAATCTTTTATTTGAATCAATGTAAAGTTGTTTTTCTTTTTTCCAAATAATTTTCTTGGCTTTGTGTGACTGTGTAGAGGAGAGATTATGCTGACTGTATACGCGAATAAAGGATATTAGAGACGACATACAGCAGTGCAATGATGGCGTTGTGTTGTCTCGACCTTGAGTCATGAGGCATGCTGTGAGTGCCACTGGGTTCCTTATTAAGCCAATAGGATAAGGCCTATTAAGGTATTACTGCTTTCACATGGCCATGGGATGACGTTTCACATGTCCAATGTAAGGACATGTGTGTACAGTATGTGTGTGTGCTTGAGGAGGAGCTATGCACGGGATGCATTCTCAAGAAACATGCAACAAATGTTACTCTCAGTTGTTCTTTTCTTTGGTTTTATGAACTTTTTGTGACTTAAACCTACTCTAAAATGAGGTTTGACTTCAGAGGGCGAAAGTTGGAAAATCCTTTGATCTCTTTGGTTGATATATTGGTAAATAATAACCTGTAAGGTACTCTTTATCCATCCTGTTGAAACTAAATCCGCTAATAACGTGTGTATCTGAATCGAAAGCCACATGTTCTCAAAACTTTAGCCATGAGGAATTACGAGCCATGATATTAAAGCCAGTGTGGTGTTGTTAGAGCAGATGTGAGGGAGTGCTGTGAAGAGTCAGCAGGAACGGCAAAGAAGCCAACTCTGTGCTGTATTTTTGTTGGACCAAAGCACATAACCAGCGCTGAGTAGATAAGAAGCTTAATCGGCTTTAGATTAGCATGAATCCCTCGACCAGGTGAGCAGGTGATGTCCTGCTGCAGGATTCGAGACACGAAAGACAGAGATAGAGACAAACAAGGGAAAGTGAAGATCAGGGTGGTATGAAAAAAAAATAAGGCACCACTTTATTGAATTTCTTTCTTCTTCTTCTTTTTTTTAAAATATGTGAAATTAAAGTAACTTCTTGAAGTATCACGTAAAAGCATTTATTATCCATCAGGTAATCACTGACATTTTAATGTTGGGGCTGTATAAAATGGAGCTAAGTAGTCAAAAAATAGTATTTCAGTTCAGTATCTAAATGCAAGTTCTTAATTTCCACTAGAGCTATAGTGTCAAGTATTTAGCTGAGTACCTAACCAAAAATAGCATTGCACTTGCACCTGAGAAAGTACTCAGGTGCAAGTGAAAATACTAAATTCAAAAGTCATAATTACACAGCTTTATTGTAGGTCTTCACCCAACATTATAAAGAGGTTTGAAGTGTTGGTTGTGATTGTGATTGTTGTGATTTGGCCCTATATGAATTGAATTGAACATGACTCCATATAGGTGTTGTATTACTGAATAATTGGATTATTCTGGTCATTGTCAGTTATTAGTAGTGGAGATATTTTTATGCTCTTTAATTTCTTGGATGATTTAATCTATTAAAAAATACATACTTTATTAGAAATAGATATGTTTTGTCTGTTAAAATGCAAAGTGAAAAGTAATTGGTTGGCTAAATTATTAAATGGACAAGAAATAAAACAAATTGGCAAAAATTGGAGATATTGGAAGTAAAGAACCGTGCTGACTAGATGTAGATACTTCGTTTCCACCCCTGTGTTCATGTTTCTAATGGCACACTCATATTTGTTTGCATACTGCATTTTAAAAAAAGCATACTTCCTTTTAATGGTAATACACCTGCAGAAATATAAAATATGTGACCATGCAAACAAGGTTGAGTATTGTCTTCAGACAGTGAGTTCTCCCTCCCACAGAGGCAGCTTCTTAACTTTTAATCTGCTAAGAGCATCCTATACGTCGTCTGTATTCTGCTGCTCTCTGTTGGTGACTGCAGGTAACCAACTGTGACCAAATCATGCTGACCGTCATGTTGATCCAATTAATTAATTAAGTCCAGCAGTGACAATGTGATTGTTCTGTGACAATGTAATCTGTAACAGAACAATCACGCTGCCACAGCTGTTCTCATAATTACAGCTAACTTTCATAATCTGCCTCTTTCGATTTATTTTATTTGGATTCCAAATTTCATATTTTTCGGTGGCAAACTGGGTGCTTTGTAGAGCTTTAACTGAATGATTTCATTTACATTAGAAGCCCACTAGAGGGTGTCTTTCCATCAGTGATAATGCAGCAGGCGTGGCCTTCTCATTGTGGAATGAAGAGGAACTATATCGCTTGAGTTTCGTTTAATTAATCTGTTGACAATTTCTTTAAAAAATAATTTAGACTTAGAAAAGAGAAAACTGTTTAAAAAAATGATACCAACTTTTTGAAGTTGTTAAGTAAATAACCTATTATTTGCTTCCTTCCTCATAAAATAGTTTGCATGTAAAACATCAGAAACCATTTTCAAAAAGTTCATTCCAGGCAGCTGCTCTTTCAAAATGTAAAATATAACACGAATACAACGATATGACACAATAACTCTTATTGCTGTAAAAGCTGAGACACACTAAACAGATCGAATCAGTTATTAAAAAACAAATAAAATAAGAAAAAAAATGGTCATTTCTAATTGGTGATTGAAATTCTTCAATCCCAGTGAGACATAAGAAAATATGCAGCAGTGTTGGAGTTCTTGCCATGTAAATACTTAAAAAAATACATTGATTCCCATAAACTAACCAAGCCCCCAGTCTCTCATATATGACACTTGTTTAAAAAGCAGTGCATTAACAACTGATGCTGAACATTAATTATTCATAAAGGAGTGGCACTTATGAATACATGCAAGATTCGAGGTGTTTATTAATTATTTAACGCGATAATGAACATGCAAGGTGTGATGTGGTTGCAGAGAGGCAATGAGTGACACGAGCTCTAATATTAGCCCGTTGACCTTGACGCTTCTGTCAATGGTCAGGGACGCTAGCTGCTATCACATCTCACTTTACACTTCACTATGGGCCTGAATAAATATGGCAGACAGAAAGAAAAGCAGAGAGAGAAAGTCAGAGAGAGAGAGAGAGAGAGCGAGAGGCCCGTGACTGGTAGATGTGTGGCCTGCTCAGAGGGGCATTGTTAGAGCTATGAGAGGACAATGCACTGCCCCCGCCCTGAATACTCGCCATACCAGCTGACCAACCATTACCAGCACTGCTGCACCGTTACAATTCCTGCTGCTCGGACACACACAAACACGTACACACACGGCCTCAATCATAAGTTTGGTCTTACAAGGAAAAAACACACTGTGTGTATAACACTGGAGAGAGGAGAGAAACCAGGTGGGAGGCCAGCACCGCCTGACAAAAGGCTTAAGCTGAGGCATGCATGGGCACACAAACTGTGTCGCCACTAAGTGTTTGTGTGTGTGTGAGTGGACGTGAACATGCGTGTGATTTACAACAAGTTAAGTTTAGACCCTCGCACCTATCTGTTTCTTCAGCAGTAACATGTCTCCTGCTGGAGCAGCAGCAGCAGCCGTAACCACCCACAAAGGACAAATGCAGCACTCACACCATCTTATTATTTCAGTGACAAAAGTCTTCAAAGCGAAGGGTGTGAACAGGAGAGGAGAGGAGAGGAGAGGAGAGGAGAGGAGAGGAGAGAGAGGAGAGGAGAGTTTTCCACTGGAGGATGAGTACAGTACTATCAACAAAAAGCAATTAGAATATATACATACACTAATTAAGAGGCACCTCAATGTTACATTTAGATCTTAGGGCTGTGTATTCTTAACTGATAAATATAATCTGTGTAAAACTGTGATCTGAAAAGAGAAAATCAGCTCTCAATTCTGAATCTATTGGCCAAAATCTCCTTTCAAATAGGAAATCTTTGCTGCTTTTCTCTCTATAGGTGGCTGGATCAAGTGACCATTTCCTGACATTAAAAGCAATCAATATAGCAATCATTAATAAATGCAATCAGCACTGTTGGAAAGGTCTTCGTTCATTTATTCAAGTACTGTACTTGTGCACAGCTGTGAGGTGCTTATATTACTGATTTATATTGATTTAACACCTGCATATGAAACACTTTTTTTATTTGACAGCTACAGCCCACGTCAAGGTTATTTTTTATATACATGTATAGAATACACAGCTCAGAGTAAACCAGTGATTTCCAACATATATGGCTTGCGACTTCTTATGAAAGCAATGTTTCAGACATTTAGGAGCTGTTTCCCTTTAAACGTCTCGGATTAAAGGATCAAATGTAGGAATAAAAGTGTTGATAAAAGCTTAGATTTTTGCAGTTCGTATCCCATTAATCACCTCATGTCCCCTTAAGCTTATCTTAGAGACTGGGACTCAGATACCCTGCTGTATAGGATGAATACTGCTGTTTTCAGTTGCTTCAGTCACAGTAATGTCATGTCTGATCATCTGTCAGTCACAAAGGTCGTTTTTCAGAATACCTATCTTTGAAGTTTTGATTTTAAGTATTACACTAAATCATGCACAACTTTTACTAGTATTTTTACTGGCTATTATTTGGCAGTTTTTTATTTTGCCATTAGTTATTGTGATTGATTATTGTTGTGTACCATCAAAAATATAATATTTCCATAAATGCCTTTTCCTGAAAATGTTTGTCAGCCTGTGTTTAGTGAGACTGGGAGGTATACTGGGAGAGTATACCCCCCGGTCTGTGTTTGTACTGGTGTACCGTTCAGTTCTGAACACCTGCTACCCCTGACAAAATATAAGCCGTGCTACCCATTACATAACGAAGGAAAAGGGCGCACACCCTTCATGATTCGAGTGATGGACAGTAACTGTTGTAGAACAGGTGTGCATACCTATGCTGAGCTGTTTTATTGTTATTCAGTGTGTGTGTGTGTGTGTGTGTGTGTGTGCGGGGGTCAGGGAGAAAGAGGGGTGCTGCTTCTCAGGCTGCTGCTGCTGCTGAGGGGACGGGCACGAGCCTCCTCCTCCTCCTCCGCCCATCCACAGATATCGGCTTCGCGCAGCACGCTCCCGATAGCCCACTCGTCTCGCTGCCGTACTGTAATCATATGATAGTGAGCCGATCCCCGCTGCAGAATACCCACACACCGGCGGACATAAGCAGAGGAGCCGCGGCGGATCAGACTAGTTGATGGTAAACTTGTAACCGCCGGAGAAGTGCGCGGAGTCGGGCAAAGTGTCAAACCGAGCTGAACTCTCTCCCCGTACAGGAACTTTTTCAAACTCTGGAGAGTCGGGCAGAGGGGGGAACCGTGTGGAAGAAGACAGGGCTCGCATACGAGACATTAACCGAGGGACAGTCGATTTTACAGGAGTTGAGAGTTGAATTTTCTCAGTAGGTGGAGAAGCGGTCAGCGGGTCGCGCTCGGCGGAGTCCTCTGGGATCCTCGCATCGCTTTTCGGGGCGTGTGTTTCTCCCCCCCCCCAAAAAAAATAATAAATAAGAAAAAAAGAAAATAAACCCTTCATCAAGTTTTCCCTGCTCGCTAGGTCACTTTATTGCTTAATCAAAAGCCATGGTTGGGGAGACAGAGGTGAAGGAGAGACCCAAGTCCAACCCGGACTATCTAATGCAGCTGATGAACGACCGGAAGGTGATGAGTTCCCTGCCCAACTTCAGCGGCATCTTCACGCATCTGGAGCGGCTGCTGGATGAAGGTAACCCCCGCATGTGTTTGAAGCTTTGAACTCTGTAGCCACTTGTCACACTACAGGGGGAGATGAGGCCATCTTCTCTCTCTGTCTCTCGTCCAGTTTAGTGTTCAGTGTTCATAAAACGTGGCCGTTATCGACTGACTTTATTGAATTAGTCATTAACTGAAGGAATTCCTCAGTGGCTCCTCAGAAACGTAACAGCAGTGTTACCCACATCACACAGTGGTAAATTATCCTGCTCACAGTACAATAAGACTGTTTGGATATCAAAACATTTGCCGAGCTGTGAGTGTAAACCCACATTCTTGGCTTCAAATTGTGGATGTAGGGGATGTGTTTGTTGCATGAAGTCACATTTTAATTTGTTGAGAGAAGCAAAGCTCTCTCTCTCTCCCTTTCTCTCTCTTTCTCTCTCTCTCTCTCTCACACACACACACATTCACAGAGGGGCAGTTGGTGATGGGAACAAACAGACAGTTGTTAGTCTTTCCCAGTGACCTAATGCGCAGGCTTGTGTGAATGCTTGAGCCCATCCCTGAGCAGGAACGAGACTCTGTCACTGTGCAAAATATTTGATATCTGTAACTGGCTGCTTACACACCCTGAAGTCATGCTTTCTGCACAGATGATCAATGCACCTGATTAGTTGTACTTGTTGATATGCAAGATAAAAGAGAGGAGTCTCAAAGAGACACAGCTCAAATGTCTCTAGTTGCTACCAGCGATCAAGGCCTGTTTTTGCTGCGGTTGCTGCACATCAGGATCACAGAGGTCCCGACTTTGCGCTCTGTGACAAGTCTCATGACGCAGCAAGGTTGTTCTCATATCAGACGACCTCTACAGCTCGGTAAAGAGGTCGAGTTAACATCTCTGGTTGTGTTCGTGTTAAGGACTGACAGCTGAGCGTATTCGTCCCTCAGTGGCGATAATGTGACACCCATGGTTAGCATGAAAGACATTGTGCCATTCCCATTTTTGAGGCTGCCTGTGTCTTCTGCTTGAGTTATGTAGGCAAGCTGCTCAGACGTAAGGCCTCTATATCAGAAAAAAAAAGTTTATGCAAGGCATTGTCAGGCTACATGACTCCTCCAAGGCTGCACTCTTGCCCAGTCTATATATAAAGTCCTATGACAGGCTGAAGTGTTAAGATAAGGCCTGCTGCAGCTCCCTGCTTTGTCTTTTTCTTCTTGGACTTTCTTGTTCTTCTTTCACTTCTCATTTTCCTCAAGCTACTTTTAACTCAAGTGTGACAAAAGCCGTGTTTGTCTGCACAGATTTGTTTGTGTGCTTGCTTTAATAGTCACTTCTGTCCAATAGGTTAGAATTGGTCATTAGGGGATCATCGGTGTCACTGCGGCAGTGGCTGTAATTATAGCGTCCTACTGTAGTTATTACGGTCAGACTTATCACTCTCAGAGCAGGGAGACGTGCCTGTCAGCGTGCTTAGGTCAGATGATATTTGCGCCTCAAGGCAGTTATTCTGCCGTGTGTGTGTGTGTGTGTGTAAGTGTGTTTGTCAGTGTGTGAGTTCAAACCAGGGGTCTGTGTGTATGTGTCACATATGTGTTTGTCTGCTCCAGTACCAGTTATTATTGTGCTAGTGTGTCATTACAAAGGCATCAGAGGCTAGCACTGGTCATCGAGACAGCACTAAACAAACACACAGGCAGACAAACATAGTCTGATTTATAACGGTGCTTCTGTAGCAAACCTGAGCCACAGATTTGACCTTTTAAGAAATAAATTTTTACACTTAAGTCAGCTGTTCTGGTGTTTCAGTGACTGCGTATGCTAATATGTTTTATAGTCTCTTCTGATGTTTCGTCGAGCTGAAACGTTTCAGGAAATCATTCGGGATCTATTTTTAAAGTTCATTTTAAAGCCAAATTCATTGATTGTAACTTATCCAAGTGTCTCTCTGGGCTGATATTTGGACAAAACAAGATATTCGTACACAAAAAAATGCTGATAAGTGAAAAAAGCGATTACAGATTAAAATGCTTGCTAATACTAGTATTAATACTAATACTTACTCATATTGCTTTATAAGATACCTTTTCCATATTTGCTGCTGAACAACTGCCCTGCACAGGACCCTCATTGGCTGGTAGGTCACTAAGACCCCCAGTAACTTCTGTTTTTCACTCGCATTATTTACACAGCGATCTGATCTATAGTTGTGTGTCTGTGTGTGTGTGTGTCACACAGAAAGAAATAGACAGGAGGCTGTCAGAAATGGAGGACACCTTATTGCAAAGCATTCAGATTTTACATTGTGGTGCAGAATGCTTGTCTCCCGCCTGTTTGTCTCTCAGAGCTTCCTTTAATTCTGGCGACGGTGAGTCATCGTCCTAAGAAACGGACAGAAGAGAAGAAAGAAATGTGAAACTTGCTGTCCCCCTCCTCCATGGACAGACTTTCATAGTTGTCTTCAGTTCACTTTACACAACTTAACTCCTCCTTTCTCTCCCCCCTCCCCAAAGAAATTGGCAGGGTACGCAAAGACATGTACAACGACACGCTGAACGGCGGCATGTTCAACGGGCGGGACATGGAGGAGCTTCCCGAAGCTGTCGGTCCCGTGGCTCAGCTGCAGGAGAAGCTCTACGTGCCTGTCAAAGAGTACCCAGACGTGAGTGGGCAAATCAGTGACCTTTGACCTTTCTGTTTACTTTTCACTGTTGTCGCTTTATCTCTTCTTAGTTGCAGAAAGGCTGTCGGAAAATCAGCGTGGCTCCTGATCACAGGGACATTTTGATTTAGATTTCATCTAAAAGCTGATTTCATTCTGAGATCATCTTTGTCTACACCCAGTGATGTAATCTGAACTTAAAATAGATCAATAACGAACCATAGCCAGTGGGTCCAATGGCATATAAATGAATGATTTGCAGGAATATCTCGGTTTGTTTACTCCAAAAGCCAATATTGTGATGTAAATCTCCCCACTGTGACGCTGTTTTCACCTTTAGGTTTATACCATAAATATTTACAGGAGCTCAAAACAGTGGATTAAGATTTTCCACCAAATATAAAGACAAGTGCACGGCAGCGAAGAGACTTTACCATCCAGCACATCCCTGCTCACGCCAAGTACAGCTAAGCACTTCAATATGAGTTATGCTGATCCAGATTGAACGACTCACATGATTTTCTCCACGCATCAGCTCGCCAATCACCAAATACAATGACAGGCTGTCCTCGCTCACATGACAAGAGACTAACAGGACACATGCAGGACTACATTGGAAAATGGTTGAGATCAGGGTTAAATTTAGAGAGGAGTGTGCACACAAACCTGGATTTGTGTGAGTGTAGGTGAAAGTCGAGGGTGACCTTAGAGGTTGGAATATGTTGCAGCCATTACTCAAGTTAACTTCTGGTTAAATTGGGGGGAAGAAAAGGTGGAAGAAGCTGGACAGCTGTTATCAGACAAGCGGATAAAGACAGAGCAATAGGGAATAGTGGCAGAAAAAAAAAAGAGACGCACACACACAAACACACACAGGGGGGCAGCTGTCCAGTTAATCACTCAGTCTTAGTGACAGATAAGGTTAAGAGAACGTCGCTATCCTGTCATGCCACGAGCACCAGCCAGCACCCATATAATGAGCTATTTTTGTCTCTCTTAGTAACACAAACACATCGCAGATGCACAAACCTCAAAGGCACACTCGCTCGTACAAATACTGGCACATAGTAAAAAACACAGTTTTGGCTTGGAGTGCGCAGCAAATCATTTCTTCCTTCAGCTCTGTTTATATCTGTGTGTTTCGCTCTTTTGCGCAGTTCAACTTTGTTGGGAGGATCTTGGGCCCACGTGGACTGACGGCCAAGCAACTGGAGGCGGAAACCGGCTGCAAGATTATGGTGCGAGGAAAGGGCTCCATGAGAGACAAGAAGAAGGTAAACGCACCAAGTAACGCTGAAGATACGTGTGTTTTATCATCACATTTAGGACTGTTTTCATACATCTTCATGTTATCTTTTTAAAAAGTGAGTCTGCTGTACTTTTCTCCATTTTCAGTCATCTCTATGCAGGCCACAGGTTCAATGATGGGGTTAATTTTTAATAGGTTATACCATTGCACCAAAAATGCAACTGCTTGGTTGGTTTCTCTTCTTTGATCTGTGAAATTCTAACTCTGGTTGCGATCTTTGAAGCTCCAACCACCTGCTGATCAAACCTTCTGTTTCTGAGGGGCAGCCAATGAGAAGAAAGCTAGCTAAAAGGAGCATAGCCTTAAAGGGAGAAGAGTTAAATGAGCTGTTTAATGCAGAAGATGACCTGAAAGGTCTACATAAATAGTTAGTATAAGAAGGATTATTTTGCATGGTGAATCAGGCAAAGCTACTCTACTAGAATCTGACAGCATGGAGGTGGAATGAGCAAATATATTTTGGGAAATATGAATTTGAAAGACTATTGATGAAAGGAACTGGTTTAGAATGATTGCACCCCCAATCTTTCCACCTCAGATCCATTGTTCACTATGTTTTTTTGACATATTAAAGAAAATGATATAACCTTTTAACAAGTGGGGCCCAGGTAGGTGGATTTTGTTGCCTCGGGGCATTGCAAAGCTGGCTGTTTTCCTCTCTTTTCAGTCTGCAGCCAATCTAAGCTTTTAGCTGTGGCAGTGATAGTATTCTCTTCATGTAACTCTGGAAGAAATCAAATCAAAGTGTAATAGTGTTTCATGGCAGGTTTACATTCTTTTTAGCTTGAAAGTCGACTTGGAGAAACTCTGGCTGAGGCAAGACATTACTGTCAAAGCTTCATTTTTGGTGTGTTTCCTATAGATCTTAGTTGAGATGACTCTGAAAAGCCTTTACGCTCCTCCAGAGATTTCAAAACTGCTAAGACTTGCTTTGTAACTTGTTAACAGTACCTGTGATTTGGAGAAACAATGTTTTAACCCACCACACACTGAAACATGGCTTAAAATTGTAGAAATCTATATGATATATAAGCTGAGCGAATCATCAAGCATATGGAAAAGAAATAGAAAAAACTTGCATCAGATGTGGCCTACTTCATATAGCGAATCATATAAGGCTTATATGATTTACTCATGACAGTGTCCACTTTCATATATTGTTTTAGTAAGTATCCAAAACATACAAGTTTCATTTATATAATTTTTCTAGGGATCTCATATCTGTTTTCACTCTTGTATGCTTTTCATACAAGTTTCACACAAGACAGATACAAACTTTATAAGATTTATATATATCTTTTCCATGTGGGTCTATAAAATTCTAGATGAAAAATGTTTATATTAGTAAGTGTAATTTAAAAAAAAAGATGTTATTTTGTGGTTTAGACGATCTTAGTGTCTAACCTTTAACTAGTAGCTTAATTTTATCCATGTTCAGCAGCATGCACGATTAGCTTCTATGTTCAGGACATCGGGGACGTGTGATAGATATAGAGAGCGAGGCTGAAGTGGACGAAGAGTGACGGGTTTTTCCAGGCCCAGAATGGGACTTCTGAGGTCGTGGAGGGGGGTGGGGGGAAGAGACAACAATATACGCACATGTGGTTCATGCACAGGAGAAACAATGAGCCTTTTTTCCTTCACTTCATGTTTTATTTGCATGTAAAACTCCAAATTAAAAAAACCCAAATTTCCCCTATGCAGGAAAAACCCTGACAGAGAGCAATTAGATGTAACAGTTTTGCAAATCCCGGGGCCTTACTGGGTGAAATGGTTCAACTGACGCATAGTTATGCATGACTTTTTGACCACTCTGCCACATCTAACCAGAAACACAGTTTAATGTTTCTCCGAGACCATGATAGTTGTCATCCTAACAAGCCGACGTGCACGCAGAAGCAGACCATGCATCCCACGATGGGTCAAAGAGCTGAAAGACAGAAAGAAGGGCGGATAGATAAATAAAATGTAGGTTATATATAATTTTATAGCTAATTGGAAAAGGCAGTGAGTTGAGATGAGTTGGCTCAGAAACTGAGAGACAGATTAAGTGGGAGCAAATCTATCTATCTATCTATCTATCTATCTATCTATCTATCTGTCTATCTGTCTGTCTGTCTATCTGTCTGTCTGTCTGTCTGTTCCTTCTCTCAAACTGAGTTTTGCTGCTCCGTTTTTCTTTCCTGTCCTGGTGTTCGGTCCATCTGTCCTCCCTTCCTCTCCCCTGGTGTCTGCTGTTGGACGGAGTCGGCTCAAGCTTTCCAAACGGCAGGTGGAGCAAGTCCAGCACTCCACCCCCCTCCCCTCTCACTCTCTCTCTATCTCTATCTCCAGAACATTCCCTACCCTGCACGCCCCTCAGTCAGAGACTCACACATACAGAAACACACAGAGACAGAGAGGGAAGGAAAACAGAGACACAGTGGGAGGCAACTGGGGGAGAAGGGAGAAAGATGTTGACTTTTAGTGCTCTTCAGAAATGATACATCTCACTTGACAAAACAGCCACAGAGGACACAATCTGCCGGAATGCCACACTGAGATCTCGGAATCTCTGTTTTAACTGTAGCTGTACCTCGCAGTTAATTTTCACTGGGAAAATAGTCTATTTATAATTTGTAATATCTGGCAGTCAATTCTGAAAAACAAAATTACGATTCTGCTGTCGCGTTAGAAGTTGTGTGAAGCTTCACTCAGAGGATTAGCTCTGAAGGACAAGCTTGCTCATTCTTTCCTCGGAGTTAGATGATGAGATTGCTATCACTTTCATTTCTGTATAACAAATTTGAAACTGTAGAGGGTTCACTTATCTTGGCATGAAGACTGAAAGGAAAGAAGCAAGCCTGGAAACTAAACTGTGCATAGTCAAGAAATGTTTCCTCACATAAGCCACGAATTTGCCATTTTGTCAAACATTTGTTGTTTGGTTCGTTACTCGGCGGATTTTGTTATTCTAGGCTCGACCCAGATCGCTTGTTTCCCTCCCCTTGCACTACACTGCGAGTGTCGTGTCTGCTTGTTTATTCAAGTCGCCGCAAACAATGTGCAGCTCCTCTATGCACCGCTGTGCTCGAAGCTAAGGCTAACATCAACAACAACAATGGCAAACCAAAGCATTTGAAAAAGGGAAATTTGTACTGACAGAGTTGCTGGAGGAAAAGTTGTAGGCAAAGCTGCAGCGGTTGATGCTGGGGGCGGACGTGAATTTCCACAGCAGTCCCATTCACATGTTGTTTTATTTAGTTGAAAACCAAGAATGTTCCTGTCAGACATGAGTGGAAAAGATCTCTGGTGAACCATGAATGCCTAAGAAAAATCTGAAACCTTTGCTCAGATATTTTAGTCTAGACCAAGGGTATCAAACATGCAGCCCGGGGGCCAGAAGCAGTCCATCAAAGGATCTAATTTGGTCCAATAGGTGGATTTACAAAGTCTGAAAATAGTTGGAAGTTCAGCAAAGAGACTTACTACACAGGAGAAGGAACCTGCTGTGTGAAAGTAAAAAGTATGTGTGTCTGCAAATAAGTTGTGTAAATCTTAAAAAGTACACTAGTATTGTTGCAAGTGAAGAGTTTGTGGCTTTCCACTGTAATCTCTTAATTTCTAATCCACACAGAGTGAGTATAGACTTACATGTGGAGTTGAAGTGAAATCGCACCTTGTCTTATGAAATCTCATGCTGCTCATCATCCATTTTCTAAATGGATCACTTATTAAATGTGAAAATTATTTACCAAGATCTATATCTTGCTTTGTCTGGCAGATTTTTAAAAGAATGGGGTCAGCGTTCAGCTTTCAGGAGGAAATCTCCAGAATGTACTTATTTACATCACTAAAGAAAGAGAAAACTTTGGAGTGTCAGAGTTCTGGTATTTTCTTTTAATAAATAAAGTTTTAATGTAATGTTTTTACTAGTATGGCTGACTTGAGCTCAGATTGGGCTGTATCCCATGATCTAAAACGAATTTGTTACCCCTGTTTACACCAAATTTGCAGACTGACCAACCGAATCACCCAACAGATTTTGCCAACCCAGGTGTCCATGTGAGGCTGACGATAACAAACTTATTCCCAAACAGACTTTCTTCAAATTGCTTGAATTACATGACAGAAAATTGTAATTCACCGTTTTCAGTTACATGACTGGCGCCTGTTCCAACATACTGGACACACTCCATTAAACTCCAACACAAGCCTGTTGGTTTTTCCATCTGTTGTAAGCCATAAATATTTAGATGATCTTCCCAAAAAATAAAAGATGTATAAACAAACTGCAAGTTTTGGGTACCTGCTATCCATATACTGCATCTGTCACAGCATTTCACTAAAAGCTGTGAAGTCTGTGCCAGAGCTCAGCATTTGAAGTGTTTTACATATGTGTTGTGGGTTATACCTTCTCTTGGAAGAACAGCAGTTTTACGTACAGTTTATTCAATCTGAGCCAACATTTATGACATTTGGGGGATGAGACAGGAAAAGGACTTGTTCCTTGTCAAAGCAATAGCAAGGACTAGTTAAGGGAAGCATGTCATCTAACATGGATTCCTTGGTTGTTGTTAGATTGAGAATCATTGTTCTGGGGCATTAAAAACAAGGCAGTAATATTTTGAAAAGGTTACATGACGTTTTTTAATCAAAACCTATGTCTGATGTCGGTTTTAATGACCCACCATTGACAGAGTTGCTATGAACATGGCCGAATCAATTGGTTTGCATAGCTGCACTCTGCTCTTCCCTATCAGTTGCGAAAAAACCGAGTAGCTCATTAGTGCATCCGAAAAACCGGCTATCGGGCATTTAGGCAAAACAAAGCTGGTAAACAAAATAACTCGGGCAGTGTAAGAAAGCTTTGTGTGTGGCCTCCAGGTGGGCCCTTGTATAATGATGTGTCACATGAAAACTATGAATTATCTGAAACACACAAAAGCAGATAATGGAGCTATTTGGAACACAGATGCGTCCAAAACATGTGTGAAACCGACAAATGCAAGTGGTTGGCGTTTTACTTGACAACGACTTCATAAGCGTTGATTTATTAGTCATTTCACTATCAGTTTTAACGAAGTGACAGAGCAGGGAGAAGGGAAGAAAGGAGGTGTTAAAGACAAAAGAGATTTAGGGAGATGTTACACAAAAACTCGAGAGTGCAAAACCTTCAGCTCAGTTCAATGCAACACCAATCTTGTGTAACCACTGAAGAACGGCACGTTGTTCCACGAGTTTGATACGCCTCCCGAGTTGCATTAGACAACCTTGAGCCTTGTGTGTAGTTTGAGGGCGAACCAGAACCAGAGCCAAAGAAGAAAGAAAAGTGAAAATCCTGTTCCCTCTCCGTAGCAAAAGGACCGAGGTTGTGTGTGGCGCATTCAAAAAAGAGCTTTTTTTTTTTTTTTCCTAAACTGTTTGTGTGTTTCAGGAGGAGATGAACCGAGGGAAGCCCAACTGGGAGCACCTCAGCGAGGACCTCCACGTCCTGATCACAGTGGAGGACACACACAACCGCGCCAAGATCAAACTCCAGCGGGCCATCAACGAGGTCAAGAAACTTCTCGTGCCCGCTGTGAGTATCAGTATAGCGTTTTACGTACAGAACCGAGGGGAAAACTGTGTGACTGGATCAGAGTTCGCTGTGTTGGTATGCATGGAAGGGGGAAGGGGGATTGTCAGACCAAAAGTGTGTGTGTATATGTGTGTGTTTGTGCATTTTTTTGTGTGTGTCTCTGTGTGTATGAGAGAGTATGTGTAAAGGGTTAGGGTAATTAGGGAACACGCATAAAGGGGTTTCCATGGAAACCCCGGGTTGTTTGAAAGGCTGAGGGAATGAATGGAGAGTCTGTTCACTCGTTCTCCCCACTCCATCACTGCTTTCACTCGTTCACAACTCACTTCATTCCCAACTACTGGCTACAGTATTCCTTTTTCTCCATGTTTTTTCTTCTTTTTTTTTTTGTCCACACAAGAGAACATTTTGATTGCACTCCTCAACATTTCTCACATTCCCCAGCCCACCTACTGCCCCCCTACAGACTCACATAAACGTACACAGTGATCACACTGGAACATTGCGCGCACACGGGCATATAGACACAGGGACACACACACAGCAATACTCTAAATTATCCCGTGTTTGACACATAACCACAAAGGCACATATTTCGAAATCACAAAGCCCTTCCTTTTTCATCTCTGCATTATTTGCAACAATAGAAACAGATTGAAAAGCCCAGCGGGAGGGGGGGGTCTATTGCAGCAATCAGCCGTCACTTCCCGTTCAGTTCACAGCACGGTACACGCCAGCCCTCAGCTTTAAAGTATGTGAGGAGTGTGTGAAGGCAGTCAGGAGCTAAAACACCTGTTGATCTATGGTTGTGCATGTATGTGTGTTTGTGTGCAGGATAACGTCAGTGATATGTGTTAGTTTAACCCAGCTGACCTTCCTCTCGAAATGTAAATCAGTCAAGCTTTTCACCACGCTGTAACTAGAGCTAAGAAGCTAGCGTCGCTGACACTGAATACGTCTTGTGTGGTGGGGCGGCTATGTTCAAGGTCTGCTCGGCTTCGTCACAGGCAGTGTTTAAGATCCCCGACGTTTTTCCCTTTAGAAAACATTTAAATTCATTTTGCTAATTAGTTTCAGCATACTGTAAGATTTGCTGACTTCTTCAAGGGAATCTGACAAAAGTTCATTCATTTGCTTGTGAACTGGTCAGTGACAGTCATGGCTAAGGAAGCTGATTGTGCTGCTCTGCTTGGATGTGTTGGTGTAGGCTGAGGGGGAGGACAACCTGAAGAAAATGCAGCTGATGGAGCTGGCCATTCTCAATGGGACCTACAGAGACGCCAATGTCAAGACGCGTAAGGATGACATCATAGATACATGTGGAGGAGGGTTGGTGGGTGACAAAGGAAGGGTCTTGGTACAGGAGTCCACTGTATATATGAACAATGCCTCTGTTTCTCCTTTTAAATAGACTGTTTGTTCTCCCTTCTTCTTCTCTGTCTATTGTATGTGCACTTTGTGTGCGCTCACATGTGGGTGTGTGCTCAGATTTTTCATTATTGTATGTTTGTGTGCTTTACAGCCACCGCTGCCTTTCCTCTAGCGACCCCTCAGGCGCCTCGGATCATCACAGGCCCGACGCCCGTCCTGCCCCCCACCCTGCGCAACCCCGCCCCTGTCACCACACCTACACTCATGCCTCTGATCCGTCAGATCCAGAGCTCCACTCTCGTGCCGGGAGCCAATCCACATCCGGCGCTGGTGCAGCAAGGGCCCGAATCTGGAATCATCTACACGCCCTATGAGTATCCCTACACACTCACGCCCTCCATATTGGAATACCCGATTGACTCAACTGGAGTATTAGGTATATAAAAATGGAAAGTCCTGCACTGTCATGCGTAGTCAATGGATGTATTATGAGAACTGGATACTGGACTCCAATAAAAGTTTCTTACCAAACATTAGAAAAGAAAATCCTTCCGTAAGGGTTTCTTTTCCTTGCCCTTCCCATTTACCCCCAAAATTTCACACTGAAATACTGAACAGGGCCACAGCAAAGTTCTGCACTAGCATCACCAAACCTACATCTATAGGTTTGTGGTTAGCAGAGTCATATAAAAGTGCACATTATTATTTTACTACGTTTAATTTAAAGATAAGATTATCACAGTGTAGCTCATCGTGCAGTGCTGTCAGAGGTGCTGCTTGGGGCTCCCGGCCCCAGGGCTGACGAACTTTAAACTACAGCAATGGAAATGTGCATCCTTTATGATGACAGTAGGAGAGACCTGACCTCCCTAACAGGGCCTCTCCTGACTCCACTCACTCCCCTTCTACTGTGGCACGCATGAATCTGTTTAAACAACCCTACTAACGACTCAACGAAAGTGTCCCTCAGGATATAATGCTAATTGCTAGTTTAGCTTTAACGCTGGTTAACGGACACTTAAATAACATAACTTCCTCAAGCATCAAATAATTTGTTTTGTTTACTTTGATGTTTGCCATTTGTTATCGTAGCTAGCAGAGCAGCCTGGTGTGTCCAGATCTGCTGGCCATGACGTGACAGTTGAATGTGAGTTGGGAAGTCTGTTTACAATTTACTTGTTAATGTAGCCTGCAGGCTAGATGAACGTAGAAGCTAATAGTTACAGTATTAAAACGTCATAATCAGTCAGCTTGGTGCTGTTGCAAAAATAAAAATTAGATTAATGTGTTACCTGTTTGTTTTACAGGACTGCTGTTGGTATTGTATCAGATTATTTAGTTGGAGGGGCCCTGTTGTGAAATTTTGTCCAAGGGCTAAAAAGATTCTATAATCGCCACTGGACACTATCACCATACAGTTACAATACAGCAATTGTACCAATCTTGATGCATTTCAAGGCAGTTAACTACGATAAATCATGATAACTGTGTTTCTAAACACTTTTAAAAGATAAAAAGCAGGAAAAAATTATTTATTCACTGCATTTTAGCAACAAAGTTTTCAGTTTAACTTAATTAAAGGGCCCAGTTTGCCACAGGGACAAATTGGCTACCATATCCAGCTCTTGTAATACATCCACAGCATATATAGATGCATGCAGAAGCTCATTGCTGGGCTAACAGTCCCTTCTCCCTGTGTTTTTGCAGGTATGGCTTTCCCAACCAAAGGCTAAGCGATAGCAACCCTTCCTAGCACACACACGGACTGGCTTGCAGAGACCCCTCCTCCCCTTTCCTCCTCCTCTCCCTCCCATCCTCCTACACACTTACCCCACAGAGCAAACATGCAAAGTTTGCTTATACTTTAGGATGACAGATTCCTCAACAGTCATTATGTAGTCAAGTGTCCATTCCTGTTAATTTCCTCTTTGTATTAGCACACTAGTGTTGTGGTGTGACAGCTATTTAACGTTTTTTTAATAGTTCAGCTTCCGCTTGTAATTTTTTAACCTATTTTAGTGAACCCATAGATATTTTAGAGCTGCTGTTTGTGATTTAACCTATGTTAAAGCTTATTTTGATCACAGAGCTATATAGAGTGACTTTGCTTACAGCTGATGTTGAATCTACTAGTGAAGCTTAATGAGAAATTAGTGGTTTGGTTTAATATTTTCTTTAGAGAACAGAAGACCACAAAACAACAAAAGATTCTCTCTCTTAGAAGCGAGATGTGTTTGACTTATTTTCACCCTCAGCCTTGAACACTTTGTAAATTCCTGGTTTCACTGATGTTGGTGCCATGGGTGGACTGTCTGATGTCTTTCTGATGAGTAACCTTCTGTGTTCTGTTTTGGCGATGCCAATGGCTGTTAGCAGGTGCCATGACCACTAAGGTACGACGCCACGACAAGAGAATCCATCCTTACCAAAGGGTAGTGACCACAGACAGAGGTTAGTTAGCTCACCAGCCACTTTATGTGTATGTGTATCTGTATGTGTGAGTGTTAGCGTGTGTGCATGCAGACCAATGGACCAATTTCAGTTTACATGTGTCTGTAATACGGCATGCCTAAATAAGAAGTAACTGTATCAGGCGAAAAGGTCACAATGTGAAACAGTATTTGTTGCAGTGAAAGTGAAATAAGTGAGCGGATTGGGAGGAACCATGTTAGGGGTGATGGCTGCAGCGGTTATCTGTGCTCGCCTGTTAACTTAAACTGGATGGCTCTCAGGCCGGGAACCTCTCAATTAGAATGGATCGTTCCATTCATGTGACTCGGTCCTTGTGACTCTGGATTCGGAGTCCTCTCTCAGAAACTTTTTTTTTTTTTGTTGTTGTTGTTGTTTATCTCTTCAGTACTACTTTTGACCCTGCAAATACTGTGGGAAACATATTTATACCCAACTTCATTCCACTAGATTCCACAGATATTTTTTTATTACTGATGAAATCCTGTGTTACGCCCACTTACTACATGACACTTAAACGGATTGTCTTTCTTCTAAAGATCTTTCAATTCATGGCGATCTTTAGTTTTTACTACTAAAACACAGCGTGTGATAACTACTGAAGTCTGTGTTACAAGCTCTTTTGTACGAAATACTGTTGTTTGTGGTCTTATCGGTCGCCCACTGGACTTTTATCATTGGGGCTGTTTACATCTTTCATTTATTTCCTAGCCAGAGTGGTGCTGTTACCATGTATTTAGCTGCAAAATAAATTTGTATATAGGGATTTTAAGTAAGGATTTAAGTGCTTATATAAAGCTTATGGAACAAGATCGCTTGGAAATACTTGTAGTTTGTTTTTGTTTTTTTTTAGTTTGTAAATTTTTATTTTTGTTTTTATGGTATGCTTTTTATAGATGAAGTGTCTCCATGTAAAACTTTATTCAAAGTGTGTAGCTACTACTGTTTTAGTCACCGCGAAGGTGGCAATGAAGGCAGTGTTTTGCTCTGTGTATTTAAGATGAGGTGACCTTCTCGATTCACGGGCCTCGTGACTGTTTTATGCAATAGAAATGGACTTAGCTAGCTACAATATATGTGTGTGTGAGCGGTGGCGCTCTTGTTGTACACAATGGACAAAAAAACACTAAAAGGCAATAAAGATGACTATTGAAAAAAAACAACATCTCTAAGGAAAACCAAAGCCTCTAAATTCTTGCAGATAGACTTGTCTATTGTGAAACTGTTTCTTAAGTCCCTCTAAAATCACCATCTCTTAACCTCTCATCGCTGTCTCTTACGGTGCCTCTTTGCTTACTGTAGTTTTTAGGCGCTCTTCTAATACTTCATAGCAAATGGATCAAACCATAATCAATAATCAGTTAATCACCAAGATCTTATGCCTGCTGCTAAACATGAGCTCCACTTGTGAGTAAATGAAAGTTTTTCTGAGGCCTGAGCACTTTTTTCCTTGGACATAAAGGTCACTCTCTCACCCACATGAAACCATGCCGTCTCCCTCTCTGTCCATGGTTTCACTGTCTGTCTGTGCTAGACGTAGCCCAGCTAGCATGAGTAGTATCACTATAGCAGCAGTCTCATGACAGGAGGGGCGCCTCCTAAACCTCAGCCCTGCTAACGCATTCATGAGCACATGTGAGCATTGCTAACCAGCCATTCCTTATGTCAACACCCAGAGGTTGATGTAAGTTTGCGCGAATGGTTATGCGGAGCTCATGAAGGTGTTGTGCAGCTCTTGTGTAATGCGCCTCCTGCTGTGTGACTGCAGTAGATCTGCCTTGTTGTCATCCCGACGCCACTAGCTGACACTAATCTCTCTTCTATCTTTTTTTCTTTTTATGTCCCCCCTTTTATGTGCCCTTTTTGTTTCCTTTCCACGTCTGTCCGTCTCTGTCCGTCTAACTCTAGCTGCCACGGCAACTAACCCATGACCCCTTGACCTTCTGACCTTTCCGTCCACTGATGACCCACCCATCTCTGCCCGCTGGCGCGCTCATTGGCCCGCGGCCCTGCCACTCCCCCAAGCTCAGCCAACCAGAGACCAGAACATTGGGAGCAACCCAGCTGCTTCTGTTTAACCAACCAACCAGACGACAGCGATCATGGGAATAAACCTCAGGACCCCGCCCATCACCGAGTCCTAACCCAAACTTTACCAAACGTGCCTTCTTCCGATAGCCCAAAGCCAGTCGAAATTACAACCTTAAGCAGTAGACTTTACTGAGGATGGGCCACAAACTGGTGAAGGGCTCCTAAATAACCCCCGGCTGTGCCACACTGTCTCTCTGAAATGCCATGCCTTCAGTCCATTTGATGCAATAATAATAACATGGTAACTAAACTGATAATGGTGGTACTTATCCAGCACAGAAACCCTCCATAAATACTAAACTGACTGAGATATGTTGATGTTTTGATACATTTTTTTCCTCAGCGGGCACCTCTCTTACCTTATTCGCATTATAACATTTATAATTCATTTACAAATGCTCACGTATTGTCATGCTTTCCTTTTAAAAAGACAGTTCCAGATATGCATTTGACAGGTCAGATACTGCACAGCACGTACTGTCAAAAATGTCTCTTATTTCCTCTTGGTAACACATAAAATGCCAACGTGGAGCTTTTTAAAAAAAACTTCTTTCATTATAAAGCGACAGGTGCTCGATGGGGAAAAAGAACAAACTGAAATCCAAAATGCCAAAGTATCTCTGAGTGTTTCCTAATAGGTAACGTGTCTTTATACTGAGACGACACATACAGGACGAATGCCAAGCCTGTGCAGTATGAATACACACATAAAGGGGAGGGAAGGTTGAACTCCTTTTGTCAAATTCTCGAGGACTTACACAACGATGCCTTTTTTTTTTTCCTCCACACTACAGTATTCAGCGAGCTTGAACAACAGTGCCTTTATTTATTGAGAGCGATGGAACAATGTTACACCTAAATCTTTGACTATGGCATCATGGCATTGTGCCCAGCTTGGTATTATATCATCTCCATTTTTACGACTTTACATCCACGGCTCTTCTCAATTCAAATTACGGTGCCAAGAGAATAAATAAAAATAATAAAAGGTGGCTCATTTGAATTGGAAGTGCAGCGCAGTATCGAAGCTACGTCTGAAATGTTTATGCGAGGTTCGGACGCCTCCGTAGAACAGTGTTACATTTTATGTCTTTGTTTTATTGTTTCTTTCGGGTGATTGTGCTGCTGGAGATGAAGTCGTCCTTATGTCTCTGCATGTGTTTTGTTTTTTTTTCCGAGGGTGTGGTACGGTTTTACAAACACAAAAACACACGCACACACACACAAGCCAAGTGATGCCTTGATATAAGAGAAAACATGCATTCGTAACATCTGTAACAAGTTTATAATGTATTTTTATATCCTATTTTGTACGTGAAAATAACATTAAATGACCTTTTCAGATGAGAACATTATGCCTTATTATGGAGAATAATTTGATAACTATCACTATCCTTCATGTGTCATAAGTAATCATGTCACAATGTCCTGATAAACTGGAGTCTCTGATGTTCTCTGTATTAACTTGAGCCTCCTTTGCTTGCCTTCTGTGCCTTTTTGTATACTATGAGTGTGACAATTAACAGTGTAGTACAACATTAATCTACTCTTCAGTGCCAAGTGTAGGTTACTAACTGTTACCACTTCTGTGATTATTAACCTCTTTAATGGTATCTGTCTCTGCCTTTAAAAAAAAATACATGTGTGTCTAAAAAGAATTAAAATGAAAAAAGGAAGATACGTGTTGAACGATGATCTTTTAACTTTTAAAGTATTCTGAGCAGGAATAACTCTTTGTAAACGATTAAACTCATAGTTGTAAAACTAACAAACTTTGTTGCTTTTTCTCTGTAGCACTTAATTATGCAAATCAGCTTCCTTTCCGCATACTAATCACCAAACACTCCTCAGATTCACAAGGGGTGGGGAAAAAACCCAAGCTGATACTTAAAGACAAAAAGGAGGGAAAAGGGCCAAAACATGTTTTTCCCACTTCTCCTTTTTTTTTTTTCTTCCTGTGTTCTAGCTCTCTGTCTTCCTCTGTTATTTAAGTGGACATTACACACATTGATGTGTGTAATAAGAGAGAAGAAAACACCCAGCTCACCATGGTTTCTCACAGGCATGCACATGTATAACAGAAAAAAAAATAAAACCGGGGGGGGTGTGGGTTTCAGGTTTGGGGGACGAGATGGCTGGGGAATTGAAGGGAAATTGATTGTGCAAGCTCGCCCTTAAACATCTGCAGAGTAAATATTCCACATGATCACGGTCCGTCCCTGAAGCCTCAGAAAACCACAGCTAATAACCCACATGCTGTGCATCATGGTAGCTATTGCTTGTTTTCATTTAAACAGAAATTTGAGCCTGTCGACACCTGTAGTTAAGTAAAAGTTCTTTTTAAAACTGCAGATTTAAAGTTTCTCACGTGCAAAAAAAAAATCACATGAGGGTTTTTTCTGTGGTGAATGAACCCGTGGGTGGCTCATTCGCCCTCTCCCTGCCCTTCCTGCTTTCATTGTGGAGTCGGGGTGGGGGGGGTTGATATTGAACTTCAGGCTTGGAGTTGAGCCTGCACTGTGGAGGCAACCCCACTGATCACAGAGAGAGAGAGAGAGAGAGGGGGGACATAATGTGACCACTGCTGACAATCCTCTGGACAGGAAGAAGCAGAGTGGAAGCACTGAGTGGACATAGCAAGAGAGAAAAAAAGAGAAGAGAGAATGTGTGTGTGTGTGTGTGTGGATAGAGATGGGTGGGGGTGCGTGCATGTCTGGATGGGTGTGTACTCTTGTCTTCGTTTTTCCTGTTTTCACTTGAGTTTTTGTGCTTTTTTTTAATTCTTGTTCTCTGGTATGAAACACTCTTTAAGCATCTGGTAATGTATTCTGCAGTCAGCGCTCCCCATTGCCAACACTGGGGCCCAGGGCTCCCAGAGCTTACAATCAAAGTGTGTTAGCGTGTGCGTGTGTGTGTGTGTGTGAGAGAGAGAGAAAATGAGCAAAAAGTGAGAAGGAAAGACAGGTTGATTTATATTGCTATGTATGCACAGCATTCTCCACTGAATGAACAACCCCTGATTTCCTCTGCTTGGTAAATATTTGATGACTGAGCGGTGGAATGATTTTAGCTGAAATTCAGAGGACTCCTACAAGCTGCTTAAAAGTTGTATTTCAAACCCCTCTCTCTCCCTCTCTTGTCCTCTTCCCATGTAAATAAGGCCAACTCCCCCTAACTCCACACACCCTTCTGAGGCAGTTTAAAGACCCAACACTGTCTCCTTGTATCCTTGGCAACCAGCATACACTGGGGTCCTGTCGTGGCCTCTCTGTCTTTTGTGTTTGGGAGCTCAGAGAGACAGAGAGAAAGAGAGAGAGAGGGAGAGGAAGAAGAGAGGAGAGGAAGGAGACGAAAACAAGACTTACTGAAAAAGACAACAAAGATGACATCACCGCTATTTTATCCCACAACTGAAAATTTGGTTTGTAGCCCAATGGTGATGATGATTATGATGATGAGTAGCCAGAGGCACAAAATGGGTAGCAGCTCAATCTGAGAGAGAGAGAGAGAGAGGTGGGGGAGAGAGAGAGAGGCCCAGGGCTGAATGGGGCATTGTGGGAAAGACAGTGGGCACACTGGGCAGTAACACAGAGAACACTAACTCACAGATCATGCCAGAGAGTCTGAAAACACCCACACTGGGCGACAATGGCAAACTTCATCGCTCCACTTGGCCCCCTCTGAATACACACATACAATGGCAGAATCCAAATAAGATGCTCTGTTATTCGTGAAATTTAACACACTACATTCCTTCAGTGCCTCCATCCCTTTGGCCAGCAGCAGATGGCCTGGTCCGAGCTGCACTGAACGTGCACGTCATGTGTTGCACGACAGGTAGGGCACCCAGCTGGCCTGAAAGGTGTGACAGGTGTCGTGGAAGTTGTTTTACCTCCTCAGCTCTGCTTCCCTGCTTCAAGTAAATGCAAACGGCGTCATGCAAATTTAACTTGTATGTGCCACGACTGGTAACAAATTTAACTTAATCAGTTAATTAAATCAAGCCTAATTAGAGCGAGGACCGAGAAGGACCAGAACCAGCAGGTTTGACCCTCTGCAACCGGTTTCATCTGTACAGTGGGCTCTCTGCTGCCACCCTGTGCCGAATGTGAGGAATTGCACCTCTTACTCGAGAAATGTTTGCAATAAACCGAACAGGTAAGGAGTTAAAAGACAGGAAAATAAAAAACCCACAGCATGCGTCAGCAGTAGAGCTGAATTCGTTATCTGATTGAATGACTAGTTCCAAGAAAGGTAAGACAATGAGTCTTGATGGGGATTTTTTTTTTCACAATTTCACAAACTTCTGATAGAAGGATTAGATTAGAAATAAAATAAGTAAAACTTGCAGTAAATATATGAGAATTAAATAATGATTAATATATGGGGTTATCTGTTGTACATCTGATTTGTTTTATTGCACCATATGTCAAACATCTGAAAATCATCTACTTCATCTGGATGTTATCAGTTCATTCAATACATGTGAGTCTCAAACAATGAGACGTAATGGTTGGATTTTTAAGACGTTTCAGTTTTTATACCCATTAAATAAAATGAAGTGTGCCGTGAGTATTTTGTACATAAAATAATTGTTGGTATATTTGCAAATTGCTCATTAAAGCATTTTTGAAGCTGACAATGGATAGTTACTATGAAAAATCATGAAGTCAAACTTGTTTTCAAGTGCAAGAACAATATTGTATATTTACTAGTTTATACTGTATAATCATTATTAGTAGCAGAATGTTAAAACAGATTACTTGGTTGTTCCTCTTTTTCTTTTTTTTTTATTATGTTTTACCATTATTGACATTTTCATATAATTACTTTTACTTAAACGGAATATATTCTTGTACTACCAATGCAGTTTCTATCTTAAAAACATTCTATATCTGCTTTTATTATGCAAGGAATCATGAGGCTGCAGAACAATATGGATTTATCCCAGCCAATCAGCAAAGATCAGGCTATGTGACAGATAATGACATTATTGCATGCAATCAATCAGCAGTGACCTGGGGTATTTCACACCTCAGCGTTCTTTCAGGAAATTGGATTTTTCTACCCCCTACCTACTCCCACACCTGCGGTCATAACATTGAAACTAACAGTGGTAAGTTGTTCTATTTTTTGTGGCATAAAAATGGTGGCACCTTATTTGATCATAGGCCCTGTTCACCTGAAACTAGTGCGAGCAATGGTAAGAACATTTTTTGACATACACCGGATGGATCTGTGAACCGTACTTATTTCGTATTACAGACATTTTCAGGCTATAATAATTAAATATGTGTAATTTTACTTTTTTTTTTTAACCTTTTAGCAGTTTTTATTATACTTAAATTGCATATATTGGTGTTTATTTCCCCTGTTAGTCTTATTAATGCTAAAAACGATTTAGTAATTCAATATTTGTGATTTACTTAATTTTTATTTCATTACATGTAAGAAAAAAAACTGTACCACCAGTAGTTCTAATGTTTTTTCACTTTGTATTATATATTTAAAATTTCTGTGTCAATATTTTATCATTTCGTTTTTGGTAAATCTATTTTTTTTCTTGTTTCTTTTTGCAGTGGTCTACTTGGCTCTTGTATGGAAGCTTGCTCATTCAGTACTATGAAAGAGAATAACATAACATATTTGGGTTTATACAAAACTGTGTGAATGAACTTACATTAACTTAAACATTTGAAGAAATGTATAAATAATATGCCAAATTATCTTACTTGAGATTACAACAGCTTCACCAAGTACCATGAAGCAGTTGGGTGTGACTGGTGATATGCAGGTTTGTGTGTAAATATATACCATAATAACCACATTGTCTACTACCTTACAGTAGTTTCACAAAGTATCACAAAGCCTGTCACTGGTATATGTAATATTCTGATTCATCAGAATATTACATATATTATTATATTATATGATCTCTATAGGGTCCACAACTACCCTGCAGTCAGTTTTTTTATGCTCTGCCTGCTCCTCAAGTTTGCCCTTCAGTTAAGTCAACAGATCCCAGATCTGTTGAACTGTCGTAAAACCGTGGTTTTATTAACGACATCAGAAAGACTTTTGAGTCGACTTATCACTAATAGATACGCAGTAGTACGAACTTTTGGTGTTAAAATAAGTCTGAGCCGATTTTTTCTCTCATTTTTCACAAGTTACTGTGGGTTTTGATGACGTAACGACAGTGCAGCACCGGTCATCGCTTTACGGCGGAGCGTGTTGCTGGAGGTCAGAGGCATGACGAAAACGCGAGATTGGTAATATCGAAGCAAAAAAGACGTAGTTTTCGTTCCAAAAATCCAGCAAGACCAACAAATACGACCTGTGTTGACGTTTCCTTCTGGCAGCAGTGAATTCAGGAGCTCGTCTGATACACGTTTGTCTAATAGCTTAAGGGTTTCGACATATCTTGCTAACGTTAGCCAGTCGGCTGCTGTAGCAGCTCCCTTTCAGCCTCCTGTTTAACACTCGGAACATTTATCCAAGCATGGATAACAACTCACAAGGATCAGGGGGAGTTAAAGCAGGCCTGGGGAGTCTTTTTGGAGGGGGTGCACCTCAATACTCCAACACAGAGCTCGCAGGTGTCCCACGTAAGTGTCATGTAATCTAACTGTGATGCTAGCTGCTGTTACATTACTTCAGTGTTGCTGTACTGTCATTCAGTATCTGAAAAATCAACTCAGTCGATAATTGATCGTTTACATTACAGTGACTGGAATGAGCCCTTTGTCCCCTTATCTGAACGTGGAC